CCCCCCCCCCCCCACCCCCCGAAGTACACTGCAGCCAGGAGTGCCAACAAAACTGAATTCAGAGCCGTATGTGATCAGCACAGCAAACAGAGAACAGTTACAATAACACCCAGCAAAGTAACCCGGTAATTCAGAGCATCTGCAACCTTTTTAATCTTGGAAGTACTATCACTGGCAGATTAGTGTTTCAGCACATGCACGCATACCTGGTGTTGCTAAATAACGGGAAATGCTATCCAGTGCTTCTCTTTCACAGGAGAAAGGAAGAAGACGACACCTTAAAGCTACCCTTGGCAGGGCAACAAACACTCTCCAGTCCTCTTCCTTCCCCACTACCACAAAGAAAAAGGAAAAAGCCGCCTCTACGAGCGCTCGGCACAGTCACCCGTGCACCATCTGCAGACCGAACTACCTTTCTCCCCCAGGTCTGAGCATGCTCTGTCTGCCGGCAGTGTCCTACCGCTCCAGCTGGCTCACCTCAATTTGTTAGCCTCCCAGAGGTCAGCCTTGCATGCAGGATGATTTGCTGCAGTATTCCTGCAAATCCCCAACGGGCGGCCACACGGAGACAAACACCATCGTGCTGTTTCACAAAGCTGAGCATGTCTCGGGAGACAGAAAGCAAACTGGTTTGGGAGGGACGCGTTTGAGAAATCCTGCTTTTGAATATCATGAATGCCACTATTACTCCAAACACTTTACACAAAAGAACAAAACAATTGGAGATGAAGGAAAAAAAATGCCCCTTGCTAGAGGGCGTGAAAGCCCTTCGGCATGATTTCTAGCAATTCCCTTGGCACCAGGGAAGCGACTTCCCAGCGGTGATGGTCAGCAAATGGCTTAGTGCTGAACAAGGCTGTGAGTGCCCTCCTTCAGAGATCCGGGGAACAGTATTTTCAAAATGAAGTTATCTTTTAGGGCAGAAACAAGTAATTCCTAAATACAAAGGCACAAAAATGAGCCAGGAGCTCGTAAGACAGTCTCTTACTGCATACAAGCTGAAGGTCATGGAGGCAAAAGTGTCTTACACCAGTCTTCTCAGCAGAGTTTGAACCTGTGGGGACTGAGCAGCTTCTTGGAGATGGTAATCCAGGCACTACTGACTGGGAATATTTCAAGTTCTAATCCCACAACCGGATCTACAGGCAGGATCAGAAGAGTAGCCCAGTTCTGCCCACAGCACTTGCCGAAAGCCTCATGGCAGAAGTCACACACTGAACACAGCTACTACGAGTGAGAGCCCAGCGCTGTAGGGACATACTTGCAGATAGGTCCCAAGCAAACATATGAGGCTCACTGCAAATGTGTTGTCTGTATGTTTGCAGGATATATCTTGTTGATTATCTGGGAGGCTTTTTCCCTTTAAGTGAGACCTAACAAGCGAAATAAGAATGATGAAAAAGAGGAAAAGTTCTCTAACACCCCCATGCACATACATGTCTATACATTTAGAACAAAATAGACTATTTCAGTTGGAAGGGACCTACAACGATCATCTAGTCCAACTGTCACACAGATACTCTCAGATGAAGAGCAATCATTTACATAAGGAAAAAGATAAAAGAATCCCTAGGTTTTTGCTCATGGCAGGAACTATCCTCACTGCCAAAAATGAAGAAGTTCAAATGGCATGGCACTGGCACAGGCAAGATACGGGATATTCGAAACTCTCATCTAGGAGAGTCTAGCAGCTACAAAGGTTAGCATGTTACCTAAACTCTTGCTTTAAATATGCATCACAGACAAGCTGGTGTCTCCAGCTTCTTACCCTCCCCCCAAATCATGCTTGGAAGTCATCTGAGGGAAGAGATATATGGATTTAAAGTATTTGTGGTGGTTCACTGCACTACGGAGTCATGCTCTCTGGGCATTGACCAAGTCTGTCATCACTCTGTCGATGAACACCTCCTGCTTACTGTGGGACCCCAGCCCCGAGGAACCTTCTGTTTCCAAGCAAGGTGGGAAAGCAGCCCTGCAAAATTAATCTGGAATAAGTGACTAGCTGAAACATTTGCAGGGCAGTGAGGGGTGATACATTTTGAATGTATCAACAAAGCACAATACCAAGTACTGCAATACCCTACAACTTTCGGGGCAAGGATCCACCAGCGTTTCAAGTTATTACAGGTGATGGGTCCCTCATTCACCATAAAGTACCCTGACCTTACTCAAGTCAGGACTGCCCCCTGGGGAAGGCCACTGCATGGGGACAACCTGCAATCCAGGATGGCACTTGGGTATCTCCTCCTCCTTCCCAGATCATCACTGCCTCAAAACAAGCATGTCCCTCATCCAGCTTCTCCTGCCTGCTGCAGCAGAGGCACCACTTTCTCCAATATAAGATGAAAACAGAGTAGTCCTGAGGCAGAGTGGGAGGCACAAAGCAGCCCCAGGAATATCACAACTTGTCCCATGCAGGACACAGGGCTAGCTGAATACAGCCACTGTCAGAGTTGAGGAATGTGGGTGTCATTCAGCATCACACATGCTTAGAAACACACTAATACCACAGAATTTATAACCTTGGGTTTCTGACTGACAGGTAAAAGCCAAATACAGAAGAAAAATAAGCTGAAAGAAACAAAGGACAAACCCAAATAGCATTCTGCAAAATCGACAAAAGGTTCTTGACAAAGCTAGACCTCCAAAAATGAGCCTGCCAACATGATGAACAAACACAACTGTTGTATCTACTAAAATAGGGCATCACAGAAGTAAACCAGACATTTTCTCATCTCCTGCTCTGGAGTGCGGCTTTTACACCTCTGTCTTCTTGGTACAGAACAAGCAAAATGTTTCTGGCCCACCTGGAAACATTAAAAACCACTCAGATTGACAGGACAAGGTGCCATCTACCTCAGCATCCTCCTCTTCAGGCCTGTGCCACCTCTTCCCACCAACTCAAGGTGGACTTGGAACTACAGCATGAGACTATGCCTGTCCCGAGAGGATCTCAAAGGGACACTGGTCAGTCACAGCTGTTCAGGGGAAATAATTTTTTTTTTTTTTTTTAAAAAAAAAAAAAAGGCAAACAGAAGAGATCCCTTCCTGGGTAGGCCCACCCAGTGGCTCAGCCTGTCCTGTTGGGACTAAGGATATCCAGAGTCACCCTTCTATTTTTAGCTTGTCTCATTGCCCTCTGGCCCCTCTGAATGCAAACGTGCTGTCTCGTGTGGAAAAAGTCAGATGGTTTTCCTCTGAATTTTGAAAGTTGAGGAGTGGAGTTAAGATTTGTAGCCGACATCACTTGAGAAAACACATCTTGACTTTCTGTGTTCTGCACTTTGGAAAGCTCCACTGCATGATGTAGCTTTCAGTGGAACCTCTGATAACCCAGAGATGCCATGCCGTGCTCCTTACCTTAGTGAAGCTTTGATTTTAATGGAGAAGAAAGTACAACATTTACAGACTGGTCTTCTATTTATCAATAAGCTTCTTCTCTAGTCCTGGAATGAGGTATATGCATAGATTCACAGGTACAGTTTATCACAGCGCATGGATTTGGATAGCTTAATTCAGTCCTGAAGAGGGTCTGAACTAAACTACATCATTAAAGGGGGGACACATACACAATCAAATAAATTCAGCAACTATGAAATAATAACTGTCTATTACTACTGCACCATAAGACACTAAGCGTGGCAGTCCCAAGCTCATCTCAAACAGTCAGCACCACCAGCCTACTGCAAGTCAGTGAGGTATGAATAGGTTGTCTTGGCTCAGACCTACGAGTTTGATAAATATTTAATACCCCTCATAAAGTTGCAGCCTCTAGAAACAGCACCACAAAAGAAAAAGTTAACATTTTTAGAACTCCTAAAAAGCAGTACAGCACAAACAAAACTCATCAAGCTAGCAAAGAAGTCTGAATAGATCCCTCTTGGTTTAGGACTAACAAAGAGCAGATAAATCATTATTGACTGAATCTTTGCCTTGCACGTATATGTTGCAAGGGTGCCTGCGTCACTCCGAGTCACAGCATTTATTATTTATAGTCCCAGAAGTATGGTCTATAACAAATTGTTCTTCCTGCAGTGCTTTTGAACAAAAAGTGCATCTTAGTTTGAGAGCATAAAATTTCATGCTTGAACCAACAAAATAAAGTCCTTGTATTGATAAATACACAAGGAGACAAAGGAAGCATTTGGTTTCCGGACACCAAGATAGGGACTCCACACACAAAGGATGGCATTTTGATTCTGCAGAAGCTAACATTAAAACTGATTTCAAAAAGACCAAGACTTTAGCCAAATATCGAAAATCCTTAAGTAAGAACATACTTTTCCAGGGGAAAAGGTGTTTGTTGAAGAGTATCTCAATGGCCAAACCCCACTTGTACTCAACTGCTTCAAGCATGACATACTCCCAGGCTTGAGAGACGTAGGATGCAAATTTTACACAAATACTAGGTTTACAAAAGTTTAAGTATGATTAAACACATTTCACACACACATACACTTGGCTTACATGTCTCTACATCAACCTGACAAATTCATAGATATACATTCTCCTCCACAGATACGTGCATATGCTAAACTTTTCACTCTAACAATCCCTCCATCCCCATTAGGAACCACCCTAGCAGCACTGCAAGGGCACACTGGCCTACTCCTGCAGCTATATGCAATGTGTGTTCAGATGAACGGCATGGGAGAGTCACCTGCTAGTTCCCAAGGCAGGAGACGACTTTGGTAGCTGTTCTGACTCAAGCTAGATGTCACTTGTGCTCTTTCAGGTTCCCATTTTGTCATTAGTAATGACAGGTCAGCAGGGTGACACAGATAAACCAATTCCCTCTCCTACAGCTATGCCAACTGCATACCTGCAAATGTAATTAGTGCCAATGTGTCTGTAAAGTAGGCAGAGATACTTCATGCTTATATGAGCAGCTTGGTAAGTAAATGATGTTCACCTAGACTGACATGAGAAACCGAGTGTAAAATGTTGCCTGGGAGACCCCTGGGTATTGCTCATGGCCTCACCATGATGCTTCCCACAGCCCACTTATTAATTATTTTTGCCTAGGTGGCTGTAAGATCATCTGTCCTCTCTCAGATGACATGCCTCTATCACCACATCACCACCTGAAGAAACACATCTCCCATTTTACAGACGAAAAGACTGAAACTGTCAAAGGGATCTGGGTAGGACACACCACCACACCAGCAGCTGCAAATATGGCAGCAGCTTCCTGTGAAATACCCACCAACAATCAAACTCTAATGTGTACCCCAAGGTTGTATTCATGTCCATAGGCTCCAGGTCTGAAAACAGGAGCCAGGGCCTCCAAGATCACAGGTGACAGATTAGACATCATAATGGACAAGAAGGATTAAGTTATCAGCTCTGTCACTGTTGCTCTGAAAGAGCTGCTAGTGGAGCAACCATAGGCCTGACATGCTCTGCTTCCAGCACACCTTCCT